TTCTTTCTTTCTTTCTTTCTTTCTTTCTTTCTTTCTTTCTTTCTTTCATCAAAATCCTGTCACAGATTATCCAGCAGGGGTCAGGATAAGACAGGGAGACAAGGAAAAAAAAATTTGACTACATTGAGAAAATGCTTTGAGGAGTCTGTGTCTTAAATATTTTCATTGTAGGTCTGTGTTTTGATTGTATCACTGAAATGACTTGTTCTAGAATAGGGGTGGGGAACCCATGACCTCAAGGCCACATGTGGCCCTCTAGGTCCTCAAGTGCAGCCCTTTGACTGAATCCAAACTTCACAGAACAAATCCCCTCAATAAAAGGGTTTGTTCTGTAAAACTTGGACTCAGTCAAAAGGCTGTATCCGAGGACCTAGAAGGCCACATGTAGCCTTGAGACTGCAGGTTCCCCACCCCTGTTCTAGAATAAATTTTGAGTGCAAAATGTAGATGGATTAACAGAAAACTAGAAGTCAGGCAGTATCCATTGTCAGCAATATTTGAGTGAAGGTGAGAAGCAGTGGGTGGTCCCAACATTAAGACTGAAATTCAACCTACCACGTGACCTTAGGCACCCAGAGATGACTCAATTCCTCTCCCCAGTTTCTTCCTCTAGAATAAAGGGATTTGGTTACATGATTACCGAGGTCTCTTCTAAACTCTAAACTGCTAAGCCCAACTGCCTGTGATTTCAGTGATTTGCCAACACAATGTGATAGGATGTTTAGTAATGGTGCCAATTTGGAGACATTTTATTTGGACCTGATCTTTCCCTGAATCTCACTACTTAAATGAGTTTAAATACCCTGGGGAAGTTTGGGTTTTAAAATAAGTTTAATTATTACTCTTCCACAACAATATAGTTGTGAAGGAGTGAGAATGATAGAACTTATGTAGATGGATTCATTATATTCTCAGGAGTTTTTTTGAAGCGAAGGAAGGTTTCATTTCCACAACTGTTTTCAACCAATCAATAAACATTTAAATGCTTACTATATGTCAGGCACTCTGCTAAGAAGTGAGAGTACAAAAAGAGGCCAAAGACAATTCCTGTCCTTGAGGGGCTCATGATCCACTGGAGAAACAACATGAAAAGTAATATGTACAAAGCAAGCTATATGCAGGATAAGTAAGAAATGATCAACAGACAGAAGGGATTGGGACTAAGGGGTTAGAAAAGGCTTCCAGTAAAAGATGGATTTTAGTTGGTACTTAAAGGAAGACAGAGAGGTTAGTAGGAGCAACAGAGGAAGGAGAGCATTGCAGCAATGGAGGCCAGCCGGAGAAAATGCCCAGAGCTGAGAGATGGAGTGTTTTGTCTGTGAAACAACTAGTAGGATAGTATCACTGAGTCAAAGAGTACATGTTGGGGAGCTAGGTATAAGAAGACTGGAAAGAGTAGAGGGCTAGATTATAAAAGTCTTTGAGCATTTTCTGCCCTGTTTGAGGGCAGGTCTTCTTGGAGACAAGAGGGATTGATCAGATAGCCTCTGGAATTCCTTTTTAATATTAGGATTCTATTCCATTTTAGATTCTGTTCTGTCTTAGAATTCTATACCCTAAAAGTGAATTGGGCTATGATTTGTGGAGTTCAATTTGTTTCTTCCAGACTAGTAAGCTACGTTTTTTTTTGGTGTTATTTTTGTATTTTTGCTTTTTGGTGAGGCAATTGGGGTTAAGTGACTTGCCCAGGGTCACACAGCTAGTAAGTGTCCGATTTGAACTCAGGTCTTCCTGAATCCAGGGCCGGTGCTCTACCTACTGTGCCATCTAGCTGCCCCTAGCTATGTTTTAATTATGATAAGTTATTGGTCAAAGTTATTTACACATAAGTAGGTAACCCATACCATTTGTGGTACAGTGCAAAAATTAATGACTCTAAAGTCAGAAGGTCTAGGTTTGAATCCTACCTCAAATATTTACTAGCTGAGTGATCTTGGGTAAGTCACTTAACCTCTCTGAGACTCAGTTTCCAAATCTGGAAAATGAGGGAGTTGGAATAGATTACTTCTGAGGTACTTTCCAGCTCTAGATCCATGAGCTTAATGATGGCAACTCTTCTTCAAATGCATACATCATATTTCCTTGATGTAGGCAGGTGTGAGTTGACTCATTGGGTCTTTCTGAGAATACATTCATTCTGTGGTATTGTTCTTGCCGTTAATATGTTTTTCATACTCATCATCTGGGTTCCACTTTAAATGTCCCTGTGGTAATGCTTGAGGTAAGTGGCACACCCCTTATACCGTTCAGAGATTATCTTATGCCCAGGCCAAAGTTGAATTTCCAATTTTTAACTTCATGATGTATATAATCATAGACTGTTAGAGCTAGAATAGACCCCAATATGTCCAGTTCAACCCATTCAGTTTCCAGAAGAGGAAACAGGTCTTGACTTGCCCTAGAGCCCATTAGAATTTATGTGGTATACTCCCTCATTTACAGAGGCAGGAGGTCCGTGGTATGGAACATTGCTCACATTTTCTGATTTCTTGGATGTAGTAATCACTTTTGCTGATTTTTTTCTCTTCTCTTCTTCTTTTTTTTATTATGAGATGATTCTCTGGAAAGGGCAAGGCGGCATACAGAAAGAAAATTAGGCAATGTCAAAACAAAAGAGACCAATAAATTTTATTTTTTAAAAAAGAATTTATATGGAATAATGGAAAATAAACTGGATCCTAGTATCCGAATGGCCTGCATACATGTAGAGCTAGAAGAGACTTCAGTGTTTACGGAGTCTAACCCCTCTCATTTTACAAATGAGAAAACTGAGGCCCAAAGAAGTGAAGTGACTTACTCAGAGTCACACAGCTAAGAATTTTCTGAGGTAAGATTCAAACCCAGGTCTTCCTGACTCTGAAACCAGCTCTCTATCCACTACCTTACAATGACAGTTTTGCTATTTGATAGCCTAAATGACCTCTGGAAAGCTACTTAAGGTTTTTGGGTCTCAGTCTCCTTTTCTGTAAAATGAAGGGGCTATAGCAGATGATCTTTAATCTTCCTTCTAACTTCAAATTCTATCTCATAATAACTAGGAGAAGCAATAGAAAGAGATCAAAAAATTTCATAAAACTTGGTAGAGCTTGCCTGTCACACCAGTTTCTGATTGTCACTCAAACACTGTAGTTTTTTACAAACTAAAGGAGAAGGTTCTTGTTGCTATAATACAGGGACCCTTATTTCTCCATAACTTTTTCCTTGGGATTTTACTATTATCTGAAGAAAAATGGGAATAATTTGATGTCACTGGAGACTGTTTGCATTTGTGGGACAACGTTTTTCACATTAGACATTTCCAATTTAAAGCACATATTAGCCCTGATAAAAGCTACCCTGGCTGGCTTTTCTCTTTGATGGTTTCAATTTCAGGCTTATCCTTCTGAAATGATTATAATCAAACAGGATTCTAACCGAGCAGGGACAGGAATTCTCGAGTCTTACCTACAATTTCCGGCTCCTGGGGGTCATAGCAGAGAGAAAAACTTAGTTTCAGGATATTAAGATATGTTGAATTTCCCTTTTGGTTCTTTATTCCATTCTGATCCTCCCCTTTCCCTGATAAAAAAACCCATTTGCAGTGCTATGGTTTGAAGAAACCTTAGACAAATCCATTCCAGTAATGATAGAAAACAGATGAGTTTTGGAACTGAGTATATAAAAATACATACTTACTGATGATGAAAGGAAAAATGTGAATTAAAAAAATTAAGTATGCTGCCTGAACTTCCCGACAGGTTTTGAAAACTTTATGTAATCTCAGAAACTTATGTTTAACTGTCATAGGAAATATAACCATTTTCTTCTCTTTTCTTTCTTTCTCGTTTCCCCCCTGGACATCAGACACCACAAGTTTTCCGAAAAATGATTCTGAACTCGAAGAGGTAAAGCAATCCATCATGGAGTATATGGGCTATGTGATTTTAATTAAAAACACAGATACACACCACCACTACCACCACTACCCAAAAAGTAAAAACAACCCAGTTAAGATTTCACATATCTTTTTAGGCAAAGTAGATGTGATAAGATGGAGAGGGTGATGGGAGAGGGGAAATGTTTTGTTATAAAGCTCTGGCAATTTTCTAGGTTCACACAGAGTGGGTGCCAAGCTTCGTTGACAGAAGATGTTTCCTCATTGGGAGTTATCTATACCCATGACAGCTTAGGTCTGGTCCAAAAAAGAAATCAAACCGCATCAAACCTGCCCTTGATTTTGTCGTGACAAGAATAAGGTGACTTCCAAGATTATTGAGCCCAGAATGCGTGCACCTGGTAGAAGTTTCTATTCAATTCTAACTGTTCCTCTAGAAGCCTAAGCCCTCCTCAAATGTTAGCACACTGATGAGGAGGCCCAGGCCAAAGCAACTAGGTAGACCTCAGGAAAAAATGATGAAAAATGGGAACTCTCAGATGTAGTGGTGGTGGATACTGGATGCCTTCAGATTTCTCTGGTTTCTTTCAAGTCCCAATTAAAATCTCATCTTCTGCAAGAAGCCTTGCCTTGTTCTCATTAACTTTAGTGCCTTCCCTCGACAATATCTTCAGTTGTTCGCGCATTGTCTCCCTCATTAGACTGTGAGCTCCTTGAGAATATGAACTTTTTTTCCCCCCCTTTATTTCTATCCTGAGCGCTTAGCGCAGTGCTTGGTACTAGTAGGTGCTTAATACATGCTTATTTACCTATTAAGCACCTACTTTGCACCAGGTACTCTGCTAGGCTCTAGGAACATAAAGACAAAAACAAATATTCCTTGGCTTCAAGGAACTTATATTTGATTGGGAGCAAACAACAAATGCATATAAGTTAGAAAAAAAACATAAACACAAGTTTTTTTTTTTTGAGAATCACTATTAGTTGTGGGGGGGGTGAGGTTGTGGGGGTAGAATAATGGAAAATCAGGAACATAGGACATTCAACCTCCTGAATTTATTTCCTAACACCAGACATGTCCTGGACAAACAGTATGATGGGTTGACCAAAGAGTTCAGGTTTTACCGAGCTTTTGCCTCTATCTGAAATACTGCACTCATTCAGATTATAACTCAGATTTTTAGAAAGATTCTCAGAGTAGGGTGATAAAGGACAAAGCATTGGCGGTGGGTTTTGAGCACAGTAAAGCTCACAATTCTCAGCTGTCCGACAGTAAGTGCCTTTACAGGTTAGAAAAGAGGCAGGGGAAACTCTTAGAGACAATATCTGGGTGAGAGTATGAACTGTTCTGCTTTCCTGTGTCTCTCTAGATAAGAGCTTCCAGAGATCCTGAACTACTGATAATTATAGTCCCACTGGTGGGTTTTGTGATCCTCCTGATGCTGCTGGCTTTTATTTTGAGAGGTAAAGAGGACAAAGTCAGATGATGATCTTCATAATGCATATGCTAGGTACCCAATAAATCTTTGTGAAAGGAATGAATGAATAATTTTGTGAATGAATGATAAACACCCTAGCCAGATGCACATCTGGGCAGAGCTGAGAAAATAGGCAGACAGTCTTGGCTGAGTATCATGTCCCCTTTCTGGATCCTTTTCCCCTTTTTAGCATCCCATTCCCTCACTAAAGTTATCTGTACTTTTGCCCTATCTATATTTCTTAATTGGTAGTAAAGAAATCTGTTAGATTCATTCACACTGTGGTTATAGTGATTTCCAAGGGTATTTGCATTTCAGTTAATTCCAGAAGAGAAGGTAGTATTAAATCCAAGTGCATGAGTCTCTCAATATAGAATTTTACATAATATGGCTGACAGGTGGAAGATATGGAAAGGGAGACTTTCTTTTCAACCCTCGAATCATACCAGTTGGCATCTACTTATGCAGCTTCCTCCCAAATTTAATCCAAATTCTGCCTTTCCTTTCTGGTGAGTTTATAAGGGGAGGGATGCCACATTCCCTTATCTGTTACAGAGTCTGGTCTTCTAACAACAATAACAACAACAACAAACAACTGTCATTTAGATAGTGGTTTAAGGTCTGCAGAGTACTTTTCATACATTATCTCTCTGATCCTCACCACAACCCAGTGAAGTGGGTAGCTTATGACTCCCATTTTACAGATGATACTAGAAAGATTAAATGATTTGCCCATGGTCACACAGTTAATAAGTAGCTGAGTGAAATCTGAACCCAATTTTTTCCTGATATCATGCCCAGACTGCTTTCTACAATACCAGGTTGCTTGTCCATCAGTAATATGGGATTCCTGAATCAAGTTTTCAGATATCAAGTTAAATATAGTAACATGGCTTCCCATTCTGTATGTAAAATAAAGAATGGCCACTCAGGGTTCACTGGATAAAATAATTTTAAGTTTTTAGGGGAGGAGATGACAAGCACTTGTTTAATTTGGTTATAAGCAAAAATATCTGCAAGTGTTGCTTGGTTTATTGCATTACACTACTTGGTGTTGTCACATGTACTTAAGAAAGAAAAAAATAATATTTTACTTTTTCTAATTACATGCAAAGACAAATTTTAACATGCATTTTAAAAAACTGTTCCAAATTTTCTCCTTCCCTTCCTCACCTCCCCCCTCTGAAAGATGGTAAGCAACTTAATAAAGGTTTTATGTGTGCAATCATATAAAATATTTCCATATTAGTCATGTTGTGAAAGAAGTAACAGACCAAAAGGAAAAAAAAGCCCATGAAAAAATAAAGTGAAAATAGTATGCTTCAATCTGTATTCAGATTCCATCAGCTCTTTCTCTGGATGTGAAAAGCATTTTCCCTCATGAGTCCTTTGGAATTGTTTTGGATCACTGTGTTTGAGGGAATCTCTAAGTCATTTATAGTTGATAAAAAAGAAAATATTGAGCTAGTTTGGGTTAGACCTTACATAAATATATGGTTAGATTTTTCATTGGTACAGATATTATAATAAAGAAATGGCTGTGGTTTGAAATGTGAGTATTTGATTTCAAGGGTGGGTAGGGGACTCAATTGTTAGATTAGACTCAGAACAACTTGGTGACCTGCAAGAGGTATGGTGATGCTTTAAAAGAAAGCATTGCATAAATATACTTCTGGGGATCTGTCCTCCAAGAACTAATAATGCTTTTACGCACTGACTCTCCATACCTTCCTCTTTTTTCCACCCTCAAGAGCCAATCTGGTAACTGTTAGGTTTGTGTTCTTTCCATTCATAGTCCAGTGTTACTTTGAGATTCTCACTGAAAGTGACTTTCTTGTTTACCCACATTTCATATTGTAATCTTGTTTTGTTTGTAGGTAAAATCATAAGAAAGAATCATTCCATTACACACAAAAGGTAATCTATCTTGCCTGTCTCTCTGCTGATGTGTGTGTGGTAATGACTATAGGAGTTGTTTAGTGATGATTACACTCATTAAGCTGGATAGCTTAATGGCTTCTTATCCTCTGACTAGTTGCAAATGGGCCTGCCTTGCCTTTCAGCTTCCAGCTGCATATTGGAAATGATGGGCCACTTCAGGGTTGGGTGAAACCAGAAGAATTCCAATCCTTGGATTTTGCTTTTCTGCCTCTTTAGAACTAAGACCAGTTTGATCTGAAAAGTACTTAAACTATAACATAAAGGGGGTTCTGCCCATCTCTTCCTCTATAAAACTATTTGAGAAGAGAACAGGGTGTTTTGTAAGTTGTCAACAGATATCATGGCCAGTGGCTGGAGAAACTAACTTTGAAGGCCCGAAGAGTTGGGTTTGAGGTCTGTCTCTGAATTATTTTGTCTGTGAGACCCTGAGCACATCACTTACATTCTTAGTGTTCTAGGCAGCTCTCCAAGATTAGACATTGCAGAAAAGGCGCTGTCCGCATTGGTAAAGGACATCCCCTATGCCAATGAAATCATAAGGTCCAGTCTCTCTGGACCAATTTAGAGATAAAGATTATACCATCACATACTTAAATTCTTTGTATTCACCTTCAAATGTTCTGTCAACACAGACTTTCAGTCTTCTCACTATAAATACATAGGTCAAGACTATGGAAAGAATTCCCTTCTTTGGTCTGGAGTTTTTGCTGTTACAGTTCAGTCATTCAGTTATGCCCAACTCTTTGTCACCCCATGGAGCATGGTATGCTAACATTGGGCCTAGGATTTCTTTAGCAAAGACAGTGGAGTGGTTTGCCATCACCTTATGAGTAAATTAAGACAAACAGAGGTTAAGTGACTTGCCCAGGGTCACACAGCTAGTAAGTATCTGAGGCCAGGTTTGTACTTAGGTCTTCCTGATTCCAGGCCTAGCACTCTATCCATCGAGCCACCTAGCTGCCCCTCATTCAGCTCTGTATCTACCTGGCCTAGAGTGTACTTGCCTGTAAATGGGTTGGACTAGATGAGTGAGGTTAGACTACCAGCTTGAAATTTATATGATCCTGCCATAAATGGGCATTCTGTTTTGGACCCAGTTTCTTCATGAACAATCTTTGTTTTTCTTTATAGGTCAAACAATGCTGGAGAAGATAGCAATGCTCTTAGCACCCTGCCTAGTACGATAGAAGAAGATGAAGAAGGCTTTTTTAACCTCTGAGAACTTTCATTTGGAGAAGTATGTATGTGTGTGTGTGTGTGTGTGTGTGTGAGAGAGAGAGAGAGAGAGAGAGAGAGAGAGAGAGAGACAGAGAGAGAGAGAGAGAGAGACAGAGAGAGAGATATGGGAGATCTGACAATAAATTGATTTAAGTATGCTTTTAAAAAAAATACCAAAACTCAATGAATATCAGCCATTTAAAAGTGGCTATACTTATTCTTCCAGTATTTCTATTTGTTCATAACATTTCAGGGCAAGGTCATAAGAAAATGGTTTTCAATGGCTTCTATGTGTTATTTGGCCCTGGAGGAAAAGAATATAAGCTTCACAGATATGAAGATATACATTCATTTATTCATTAAAAACATGAGGGAACTGCTGTAAGTAGAAAGTAGTTGTAGTAACTGACTTTATATAGGGCTTTAAAGTTTGTAAAATGCTTTACACCCATTATCTCATTTAAGTTTTATGCTGTAGTAGAAAACAAAGAGTCAGCATTTAGAGTCAGAGGCCTAGGGCTTAAATTCCACCTGTCACCTATTGTCTTGAACTACTTTGTATCCTGGGCATGACCCTTCATCTCTCTGGGCCTTGGTTTTCTTATCTGTAAAATAAGGGGATTGAACTAGATGACCTTGAGGGTCCTTCTTGTTTTAACTCTATGATTCCATGAGTGTGGTAAGGTAGATGCTACCAATATTATTATTCATTCTAGATGAGGAAACTGAGGCTCAGGGAGGTAAGAGAACTTCCAGACTCTATTTGGAAGTAGAAATTGGATGATCAAAAGTGAACTACTTATTGTGGGGCCAATTTGTTAAAAAGAAACAAATATTTATTATAACTATGTGCCAGGCACTGTGGTAATCTCTGGGGATTCGAATACAAGCGGAAAGATAGTTCTTGCCCTCAGGTAGTTCATATTTGATCAAAAGAAGATGACATCTAAAAGGAAGTTGAAAGAGTGATGTAGGGGAAGGAAGGTAGCCACTTGGAGGTATGATAGAAAATGTCTAGAGAGTCAAGAATAGAGGCTGGAAAGAAATGAAGACATGTCTGATGTGGACGTTTTCCTGTAAAATGGAGGTTCTAAGAGGAACGATGCCAATCAGAAGACGGAAGCAGAAGATCTATGGAAGAGATAGTACAGGGCTCTGAGATAATTGAGAATGTCATCAGCCCTGTTCTACAAACTATAAAATAGTCTGCTTTGTTGTATTTGCTCATTTCATTTTTGTTTCCTATTTTAAATATTCCTGTCCTTAAACTAGTATAATATTCCTTAGTAATAATATGATAATATTATGTCATGAATAAATGATGCCTTACAGCTGCATAGGACATAAACCAAAATGGTGAGGGGAGAAGTTGGTAGTAGCCTTTGGTTTGGTTTGGGGAAGCTGCTGACCCCTAGGGACTGGATCCAGGAACCCCCTGGAAAAGACTTCTCAATAAGAAGGCAGATCTAGGAATCTAGGGCCAGATGGGGGTTCCTGACTGCCACCAGGATTTGTGGCACAAAATCCACAAAGATTACATTGATTTTTATGTGTTATAACCTTGGGCAGTTCAATTTACTCTCTGGGACTCAGTTTCCTCATCTGTAAAATGACAGGGTTGGGCTAGACTCACTTCCCTTCATTTCAATAAGTATTTGTGTCTACTTTGTAGGAGTCACAGGGCTTGGCAATGGATGTGCAAGGTCAATACTAAATCCTTGCTTTCAAGGAGTATTTTTTTTTTTTGGTGAATAAACTTATAGTTTATTTGGTTGTAAGATTTTCACTTTTCTCACTCCTGAGCTGCTGACCAAAACCATATAATATGTGCACTTGGTTGCAGTGTCAGGCCCTTCCTACCTTGTTGACTTGTAAGGACTTTTCTATCCTTACTAAAATCCTAGGTGGATAGAAACTATTTCCCAGTGGAGACAGGAACTACACCAAGGACTAACTGGGAAAGAAAATCTAAGTTTAAAGGAAAATCACATTTATAAGTCAGTATCTTGAGGAGGTCAAAAACAATCTTTTGGCCTTGGTCCTTTATGGTTACAGAATATTGTCCATCGGGATTTTATTCCTGTAGACACATCTGGGGCACAACCAATTATCTTCTCCTTCTAAGGGTGGGAAAGAGTAGGTAGGCAATAATAAGAGAGGAATCAATATGTCATTTTCAGGCACCCAGGTTTGTCCATCTCGGAACTCCAAAGGAGCTGAACCAGGGACATCATTAGGAAAAGCTTCACCAGGCATTACACACCATCGTGGTAAATCTGATTGCTTGGACCTCGTAGGCTCAGAAGATGTGGGTGTGGGCCATACTGCCTTGGATTTCACTGTTTCATGAGTCTGCTCCATGCTGCCATCACAGCTGTCCTATTTTCTCTCTGCTGAACATCTATTGCCAGCATCATATCCCATGAACCATCCTGCCTTCCTTCCTTTTGTTTGTATTATTGGCTGGAATGTCTTGTTCCACTTCCTTAGAAGAATTCTTAAAAAGGAGATACCAGTCCTTGACCCCCAAGCTTGGCTGGCTATCAACTTCTTCATTTGTAAAATGACAGGTTCGACAAGATTTCCTTTCAACTCTGCAGTGTTCTGAGCCTGAGATCCTGGTCATTTAGTGTCAGCATTTCTGTTTGCTTATTTGCGTGATGGAAACATTTTGAATTACCAGTAACTTTTCTCCCTGTAAACTGGTCTGCCTCCTCTTTTCTCATGGAGCATATTTTTTTTTTAACAGGATTTCTTTCTTTTTTCCTTCTGGCTCAAAATTTGATAATCCTGTGATCTTCTATATCGGTGGCATGCTTCTTTCTAGTTGTATAGCTTAGAGCAAGTCTTCATTTCTCTGGACCTCAATTTCCTATCTATAAAATGAAAGGGATAGAGTAGATAGTCTCCAAGTTCCCTTAACATTTTATGATTCCTGTTTGGAAATTGTCCTTAAACCCTGAAGCATACTCTTGTGTAATTTTACTGGTGGAAATCCTTTTTCCTTTAAGGGCAAATTTAATTTTTGGAAAAAGTTCAAATTCTAAGCTAAATATGGTGAATGAGGTGGATGATCAAGCTGGGGAATACCATTTTTGTTATAATGTGAGGTAGGGGCATACAATAAAGAGCTTGATTTTGTGGTGTGATCTGTAAGCTAGAATGGAAAGTGCGAAAGGGATGGGGAGTGGTTTGGACGAAGAGTCACTCGGGAATGGAGGTTAACAGAACTGGTTTTTTTTTTTTTAACTCACAAAGGTTGGAGGAGAACAGATGCCAAAGGGAATAGTATAGGTGTGAGGCCACTTAGGATTCAAAATCGGAGATTTTAGAAAAAGAGCTGAGATGACACTAATAGGAGACTTCCTAGATTCAATGGTGTGAAACAATGGGGGAAGCATGGGCCTCTAGTTCTCATTCTCATTCTCTGAATTACTTTTAGTAAGAAATGGAGAATGAGGGACAAAGAGCTAGGAAACTTAACTCTAACTGCGCCATAGCAAACAATTGGGGGGTGGCATACAATTTCCAGGTTGCTTAAGCCTTGGCATTCATGTATCTTGGAGGCTGGGGCTGAACCAATGAAGTTGGGTTTTGCTAGCTCAAAGAAGGCAACATGGAAACCCTGCTGCACAATGGGGCTCACCACAAGGATTGTTTTTGAGAAGTGAACTGGAAGTTCAAAAGGTACCTAGATGGATAAGGCTGGCCCAGGCACAACTGAGGAAGAAGTATGAAGTAACCTGGCCTTGATTAGTAATTCCTAAAGAGCAGTTTCAAAAGCACTTTGAGCAGACAGCTAGGTGCCGCGGTGGATAGAGCACCAGCCCTGAAGTCAGGAGAACCTGAGTTCAAATATGGCCTCAGACCAAACGCTTGACACTTACTAGCTGTATGACCCTGGGCAAGTCACTTAAACCCAACTGTCTAAAAAAAAAAAAAAAAGAATTCAAAAGCACTTTGAGCAAGGGCTCCATCATAGGAATAAGTGTGTGTGATTGCTTGAGGTGACTACTTTGAAGGATGTGTCTCATTTGGATATATAAATTCTGACACAGTTTTTAAAAAGTTATTAGTATCTTTTATTTTTTCATTGTTTAAATTTCTCTTTGTATTCCTTCCCCTAGTCACTCTCAGAAAACCATCCTATATATCAAAGAATTTTTAAGAGAAAAAATAGAGGAAGAGGGGGGAAAATTGGCAAAATGATCAATACATTGAAAAAAAATCTGACAACATATGCCGTGCTCCAAACTCATGGACACCCTACCTGTGCAAAGTACTGAAGGGAGGTGGAATTTCATATCTCTTATTTGGGGCTAAACTTGTTCTTTGTAATTTTGCAACTTTTATTTTTGAATATTCTGTAGCAGTTTTTCTTTCCATTTACGTTGTTGTCATCATTATGTACATTAATTCCATGGCTCTGCTAACTTCATTCTGCATCAATGCTAACCTAGTTTTATTATTTTACAGTTGCAACCTGGAGACTCACAGAGGTGTAAAGGATTTTATAGGTTCCCTGGTCTAATTTGTATCTGACCAAGAATTCCCTCTATAATATCCCTTAAAAGTAGCCATCTGGTTTTTGATAGAAGACCCTTTAGGAACCAATTAATGTCTGAGGCAATCTTCTTAACTTTTGGATAGCAGCTAGGTGGCATAGAACACCAGACCTAGAGTCAGGAAGCCCTCAGTTCAAATCCTTCCTCAGACTCTTCCTGGCTGTGTGACCCAGGGCAAATCATTTAACCTTGGTTTGCTTTAGTTTCTTCAACTGCAAAATGGGGATAATAATAACACCTACTCCACAGGGTTTTTAATGAGCTTTAAATGATATAATATCTATAAACTGCTTGGCAAACCTTAAAGTGCTATATAAATGCTAGCTATTATTTTTATATTAAAATTTTTTTTATAGCTCCTCTAATTCTTAGGAAATTTTCCCTTATATTGAACTGAATCTTGTTCTCTGCAATTTCCATTTCTCCCAGTTCTATCCTCTGAGGCCAATCATGATAATCAGAGCAAATTTAATTCTTTCATATTATCAAGTTTCAGATACTTGAAGAGAGCCATCTCAGTTCCCCATAAGTTTTTGTTTTTAAGCTGACTACCCCTAGTTCCTTCAACTGAAGGCACATCAAAGAAACCTTGTCAGAGAACTCCTTTTTTTCCTAATTATTGTGGGATATGTAGTTCAGACGGTTTCCCAAGGACTACATCTCCCTGATTCCAAAGCAGCCTGGGGATTATGTACCTGCCTAGACAGGGCAATAGAGTGTACCACTAGTTCATGAAGATCATGCAGTCTGTCTGAAACCCCTACTCTCCCTCTTTGGATGTACTTTTGGGGTACTTTGGAAAGAGGTGCTCTGAGTTCCTTATTTATCTTATTGAATTATGGTGAGTCTATCCAAATTAAAATCAAATGCATATGTTGGATTTTGTGTCATGTGATTATTCTTTACCTTAAGTCATGGTTACAGGGTGAACTCTCATATGCTGCAAAAGACTGAGAGTCAGGGTGGAGGATAGGTGAGTCCAACCACCAACTCACACATGCTCAGAAGCCAAGAAAACAAAACAGACAAAAAAACAAAAAACGTTTGCAGCCCATCATTACTGATTCATCTCTGATTCCTTGAACTCAACAAAACATATACACTTGACAAATCAGCTAGAGGAGGATTTAAGAGAAAATCTAATCCCTCTGCAAGGGACACCAATGGGTCAAATGCTGTGGGAAATATGCTAAAAATAGCTAATATTCATATAAAAATTTAAGATTTTCAAAGCCGGTTGCAAAGATCTCATTTGAGCCTTATAATAGCCATGAGAAGCAGGAACTTTATTATGTGCATTTTGTGTGTGTGGTTTGTCATTTGCTCTCAAAGAGGACCATGACATCAGGGAGATGATGACATGACTTGCAATTGACTTTGTTTTGAGTGAGGGAGGGCTGTGCAAGGTCACTAGCCTTACTTTCTTCTTCAGAGCCATCTGGGTCCAGTGGCCAGATATAAATCAGGATGACTGGAGATGGCCCAGGATACAGTGAGAGATCTTGGCCTTTTAAGCTAAGGTCTTTTCAGGTTCTCACTTTGAGTGAGGCAAAGCCCATTCAATGAATAGGCCTCTTTAAGAAGTGAGTCAAGGGATGGCCCCTTCAATTAAAAAAAATCAAACTGGGAGGTGAAGACCTTCAGGGTTGGGGCCAAAAGAGAAACAGTTACTATTTACATGCTCTCTGAGTCTAGAAGGGCCCAAAAATAACCATTAAGTGGTGGTTGGGCGGGGCCCTATTGTTGTCCAAACCAGGAGATCAAGGGTGAGATTGGGCTTAAGGCTTGGTCTTTGAGAAAGAAATCTAGGCAGTAAACCCCAAGTTAACTAGGTAGCTTCAAAATTTACCTTCCTTTGGGGAGAACACCCTCAGGTAAGGGGAGGGGAGAGGAGAGGAAAGGAGAGGACAGGAAAGAAGAAGAGAGGAGAAGAAAGAATAGGAGAGGAGAGGAGGAGCTGAGTTGCCCAACTGGAGTGGCCAATTGGGTCCCCATTCAGGCAGCTCAGACTGCTCCCAGGCTGGTTTGTTCTTCATTCTGAAGAAGACCATTGGCCAAGGTCTCCCACTGCATCCTAGACTGTTTGTAGTTGCTTTGATCGATGTCTGGCCATTGGACCCAGATGGCTCTGGAGGAGAAAGTGAGGCTGGTGACTTTGCACAGCCCTCCCTCATGCAAATCAAAGTCAATCTGCATTTTAGAGAAGAAGAAACTGAGGTACAGAGGGGATAAGTGACTTGCCCAGGGTCACACAGCTAGTACCTGAGAGACATTTTGGATTTAGGTCTTCCCTACTAAAAGTCCAGTTCTCTTTCCATTATGTCACCTAGCTGACCCATAAAGTGGGTATGGATGGTAGCAAAAAACCAGCCAGCCCCCTGGGGGCACTGCAAACAATTGAGGAATGTCATAGTAACAAATATTAGGCGAAGGCACAGGAAGGCATATCACTCAGGTCACAAAATTCTTAGTAACATATGAGACCCAATTCTCATTTTTGCAGACATGACTCCAGTTCTTTGAAGAAATGAGGAGGTCAGAGATAGATCTGAGATTCTGGAAAATAGAAGTTCCTTGAGGGAAAAGGCTTTCATTTTTGTCTTTGTATGCTCAGAATTTAGCACATTGTCTTAAATACATGTTTAATAAGTCCTTGTTTAATTGAATGAAATAGTTGAAAATCTGGGATAGCAGATAAGGAATCAGACTAAAGTGCCAGTTATTAGAATTGAGGTATAAAATTAGGGCTTGGTCAGAAGGAATAAAATAAGATCCCAAATCCTGGAATAAGGGTACTTAGACCATCAGGCCTGAATTTGATGAGCTGATGAGCTACTGGACTGCAATCTTTGCATCCTGTTGCCTTGGGATGGAATCAGTCCTCCAATCAGAGGTTGCAGTGGGGCTTTGGGTTTGGGGAGAAGGTGAAGGGATAATGTGGGTCCAGGTTGTAGATTCAAAGGATTCAGGGGCAGAGACAGCCAAGCAAATCTTTATAAATTCTAGAACACATAGCTACCTGGAATGGTGGTGTTGCCTTTTAGCAGTCATTAGGAAACCTGATTTGATGGCTAGATAATGATTTGAAAGTGGCATGCAGAATTATTTGTATGTAATATAGTGCTTCTGAAGCACTTAAGGGTCCTTGAAATAGTCTCTGGTTTTTAAAAGAAAGTATTTTAAACATCTCCCGCTGTGCTCTTCTATGCATTATTAATTTGTGCTCTCTGTGAAGAAGGGGTTTGCTGAGCAAAGATAAAATTCAGCCTAGACCCCATAGGAAGGACCATGAATCCTATAAGCTTTCATTGTGTAGTTTGTTTAGTACAGTTGAAGAAAACAACTAATGGCTTTGCTTTTATGTTAATGTTAGATACTATATTTTAAAAATCCAAATAATATTCTTTCAGAGTTTAACGTAAGATACCCTGGCTGAGAAGGTATCTGAACATGGCTTCAGAAATTCCTACAATAGAAATTTTTAGAGGTCATGGATCATAACCTTCTCTTTTCATTTGGTACAAATACAGAGGCTTTATAGACTCACTTATCTGATATTCAACTTCAATTTAACTAGCATTTATTTAGTAC